CAGTAAAAGCTGGTGTGGTGCAGCATGGCAGATGACCCAGCAATGCCAGGGGCCACAAAAGAGGCAGCGCTGTCTGCCGAGTGTGGAACCAGGACAACAGCGTCTTTGCTCCACACATGAGACCAAGCTGCTCGGTGCCAGCCTGTTACTGACTCTTTGAATTATTTGTGTATCTCTGCCAACCTGGAGCAGAATGGCACATAGGGAGCATAGTTTTTGTTCATTGTCCTCAAGCAGCCACATCTTAACCCATTATGTACACTTGAACCAGACTGGGCCAGAGTCTTATTTTGTCTGCTGATGCTGATAGGGAAAGCTGTTTTGTAGACGTTGTTTCTATGTTTGTGTATCCATCTGTTGTTCAGATTTGAGACAGAGTGTGATGTACGGCCCGCCCTTTGCTCTTGCCATTGTTCTTTGGACTTCTGTTGCTTCAGAGATACCACAGAAAATGCTCTGAGATGGAGCAAGCTCTCATAAAGATAGGCCTGAATGACGTCTATTTGCAGTCACACTCACACATACAAGCTTGTACATGACAGATTCATGCTCAGCCCTTGACCATTGTACTCCCCTCGTGCGTGCATACACACACACTACACACCCAGTAAGTATACTCTTCATGTAGCTTAAGGGTCTAGGTGTTCAGAAGCTACAGTGCTTTAATAACTTTACTTGATTACTTTTTGTTAAGCTCTACAGTTATACACATGTTTCCCAATACTACTGCTGACTAACAGAAATGAATCATTTCCATTGGACACTGAGGTTTAAGGCATCTTGTTCCATGATGAATGAATGAACGAAAGAATGAATGAATATATGTGTTTGTGTGTGTGTCCTTTTGTTTTGTATGTAATTTTGTTTGTGCATAGGTTGCTTGCATGTTTCCCCATGTGCAAGAAAAACAAAACTTAGCAAAGTGCAGGTGTTTCTCATGTTTCCAACAAGAATCCAGTCTGAGCCAGATGTTAGGCATTTATTTTTAAATTGTAAACACCTTAAATCATACCACTAAGTGGAGATTTGATTGGAAAAACTGTAATTCATTTTCAAGGCCTTGTGCTCTGTGATTTATTTGAAGCTGTAGTTTTGGCATACGGAAGCTTCTTGGTGGCCAGCTTGTCTAAAAAGGCCCATTAATTCACAGCTCGACATTGTTGCTCACACACAGGCACACGGACGAGCCGATTCATGCCCCGTGTATCTGCAGATGCTAACCACCTCCGCCTTGAGTCAAATTCACCAAGGAGCTTGGAGGCTGTTATTGAAGAGAGACAGACAGAGGCACAGACAGGGTGATGAAAGACGCAAAGTGGGTTAGCTGGATGGGTGAGTGCTGATGAGACGGGCCCCAGTACCTGCAGTTTCCCCTACCACTCTCTTATCCTCTATGTCAGTCAGCATTTTCCTCCACATTTACTCTCCCCTTTTTCATTTGTTCAGTCTGTCTTCCTTCCCTTTTTCCCTTTCATCATACAGTATGATTAATCTGTTTTCTTTATCCAATTCAGCAGATGAGCTCCTAAAGTGGCCTTTTTGTGTATGTGGATTTGCTGTTGGAGTGTATTTTCAGTTGTTTGCTGATTACCTCCAGAGTGTCTCTTCCCTTTGAGAAAATGTGTAACAGGGCAACTATGTCCTGTGGGTGGGTAGGGCATGGGTTAAGCTAGAGGTGGGAAGTTGGAATGCATCTTTCTTTTTTCAGGGGTGGGGGTGAACTGAGGTTAAAGGGCAAGGTGAGGACTTGTGGAGTATTGTCATTAAGGTAAGAAGATTTATAGAGGCTTGGGTTAGAATGGTTGTGTGCGTATGGTGACTGAACATGGACAAAGCAGCCTGAAGTCTGCATTTGCATGTTGCCTTTGTAGACTCATCTACTCCTTTCTGGCTAGCAAATGTGTTGACTGACTGGCTTCTTCAGTATTTTAATCATCTATTTTATTCCCTTTTTGTTTTCAAGAGCCTACGTTGATGGTGTGTTCCATGATTCTGAGACTGTATTTCACAAAACATTAAAGGGGCCTCTCCTGTTTCTGTATTTCAGTGAGAACTGACAAAGGACTCTGCTGTCCTGAGAAATGGAGCCTGGTCAGGCGGATGTCTGGTTCTCACTGTTGTTGCGCCTGCGACAGAGAGAACAGATAGCAACCTGAGACTCACAGGCCTGTTTGTTTCCTGTTAGTGCAGATTATCATATTTCACCAGCCAGAAGGGACAAAAGCTAAGCATCAGGGGAGAGTGGCATTCTTAGCTAGGAGATGTTTTATTGTTTGTGTTCTCATTTAATGTGATTGTTACAGTGCAGTATGTACAAAACTTGGATAGATACAGTATAGAGACCTTTAGGTTGAGAACTGTCTTTATGTTTGTATGTAAATTACAGGCATAGAATCTATTCCAGTTAAATAGGACCTAATTTCCCTATACATGCAGGCAAAGTGTGTTTGAGTTCAACCCCTGTTTGAGCTTTGTAAACAGTTTTTCCCACTGGTTACTCCAAGGCATGAAGATGCTTTTGCATAAGGGAAAGTTTGAATCCAGTCCCACTGCAGACATAAAGACTTTAAATGTTTCTTCCTGTACAACTTGGCATGTCCTTAAAAAGCCTCAAAGCTAAAGTAAGTAATACTATACTCAATTTGTGACTCTGCTAGTTAGGATTAATAATGCCTTCATCACAGAAGACTCTGTGCCCTCTAAGAGAAAAAATATTGACATGTCTGCTGTGTTGAAATTTCTGTGTTTGATTTAGATAAGCACTCCCTTTTCATATCAGGTTGCTTTCCAGATGAAGTCACCTCGCTCGAATCACTCAAAAGAATTTTTATTACATGTGATCATCCATCTCTAACTCTCATTTGTTTCGTGTGATCTCATTCTGCGGATTAAATCTAGTTGTGTTGGCATTCCCTCTGTATGTGTTGTCATGTTGAGCTGTTCCTCAGTGATGTTGTTTCCACATCAGGTTGGCTGTTGCTCCCCAGCAGAGTTTGTGTTTGGTGTCCAAACAGCAAAGTAATGGCGATGCAGGGCAGCCAGGTCAGCAGCCGAGGAGGGGTGGGGTGAGGGCCTTTTGTTAAGAAAAGCAGGAATCCTTCCGGCTGGCAGATGAAGTCAGTGCATTCCTCCAAAGCAGCCTCCCTATAGGCAGCCAGTGGAGCAGAGCCAATCATTGAATGAGGGTCAAGATAGGATGGTGGGCTCACTATTAAACAACTCCCATTGAGAACTGACAGAAAGAGAACACCATATGTCTGACTCTGGGTGAAGAGTCTTGTCTTTTCCCACCTAGGCTACAAGGTTTCATTTGCTGTGCGAAGTTCCACACATAATCCTACCACTTCCCGAGGCTTTACAGTGTTTATGAGCACTGCAGTATTTTATTACCTTATTTTGAAGCTTAGCTGTAAAAGTACACACAGGCGGAGTTAGGCCTGATATAATGATAATCGTTTAAGTTAAGTCTGCTGCCCAGACATCAGGAAGGCT